TGCGATTTGGAGTCCATGTGTTTGGGGAGGGGATAGAGCATGATCTGTGGGAGGTAGGACCAGGGTGTTGGGGGAGGGGGGATGGGGGGGGGGGGAGACTGGAAGTGTCAATGTGGAGAAGGCGGAGGAGGGCTCTGCCTTGAATGGTAAGTTCAAGCCGTTGTTTTTGGGCTAGATGATGATTCGCGATTTTTTCTTCAAGGGTGTTGTGGAGGTGTGTTTGTTGTAAGAGGTGTAGTGGGGAATATAGGAGGGGACTACGATGGCTGCCCTTAAGGGTTTACAGAGTGCGCTTTGGGTGTGTACGGATTTGTGTCCGGGTAGGGTTTAGGTGAGGTAGATGGTATAGTATACGGGAATAAATCATGGCCTCCGAGGCCCTGACAATTTCCCGTTCTTTGAGGCCTCTGTGTTGTTTGGCTACACGTTTGAGCATTTGGGTGACTTTATTTGTGTGCTGGATGAGTTTGTTGATGGTGAGGTTGGTGGCTCCATTCTGTTGAAAGGTGACTCCTAGGATCTTGATGTGGGTGCGTCACGGGATAGGGTGTTGGTTAAGGTGAGGCGGGATTAGTTGCCTGTTGGGGTCCTTGTTGTTGGAGACGACTATGTATTCAGATTTTTTTGGCGAGAAGGAGAGACCGCATAGTGTCGTGTATTGTTGTATGCGGTGGCATGCCTCAGTGAGGGCGTCCTCTTGCGCGCCTGGTGAGCCGGTGGTTGTCCATAGAGTGATGTCCTCAGCATAAAGTGAAGGGTGGAGATTTGGGATGGCATTCAGTGTAAGGGGCAGGTGCATCATGGCTATGTTAAAGAGTGTGGTTGAAAGAATTGAGCCCTGGGGAACTCCTCGATGTAGGGGAAAGGGGGTGGACTGATGGTTTGGTATTTGGAAGGAGGCCGTACGTTCGGAGAGGAAGTTGTGAATAAAGCTGTACATTCGGGTGCCACAGTTGGTTGAGGCGACGTGTTCCAGGATAACACTGTGCGATACGTTGTTTTTCGAGGAGTTTACCCGCTTCAGGATGTGAGGGAAATTGGTCGGAGGTTGTTGATGGTGAGTGGTTTGTTGGGTTTAGATAAGGTGATGATGGAGGCGTGTTTCCATTCCGGGGGGATTTCAATCGTTTCCCATATACGGTTGTAGAATACCAGGAGTTGTGCATGTTGGTCGTTATTGAGATTCCTTAATAGCTCATAGGTGCTGCCATCCTCTCCCGGCGTAGTATTTTTGGTGATGGACTTGAGAGCGGATTGTAATTCCGTTAGAGTGAAAGGGGTGTCAATGTCGTTCAGGAGGAAATCAGGGGCCCATGGTGGAGGGACGATGGAGTGGGAGTTTGGGAGGGGGAAAAAAGGTTTGGCGCAGGTCTTGTTCTAGTTGTTGGGGGGAGATTTTGGTTGCTAGCATGATGCGGGTCAGGGGGTTCTGTAGGGTGGGAGGGTCTAGAAAAGACTTAAGCAAACGCCAAACGTGTTTGGTGCCGACCTGCCCGTTTAGGGAGTCACATAGCTGAAGCCAGTTTTCGACCATCAGTTTGTCGGCGTAGGTTTGCATTTCTTTGTTGATTTGGGTGAGGCGACTTTTAAGATGCTTGTCAGTTTTTCGGCGTTTGAGTTGGGAGACTGTACGGTGGCGGGAGTCCCAGAGGTTGACGAGGTGTCGGTCGATGTGCGGGGTTTCAGTGGATCTGTAGAGGCGTTTGGCGTGTTCGTTTTGTAGGGTGAGGATGTCGAGGAGCCCATGTATAGGAGATGAGGAAGCTGGCGGAATTTGTCCCAATCTGTGATTAGGATTGGTTTACGGCGAATTTTCTTGGGGTGCGGGGATTCTAGGCTGGTGATGATAATCTTGTGATCGCTACCTAGTTGCTCATCAGTGACAGGCCAGGTGGGTGTGAGTGTGCCTTTGTGGAAAGCTAAATCGGGGTTAGTGTCCCTTTCCACCGAGTTTCCTGTTCTAGTATAGGTTGTGGCTTCGTTGAGTAGGGTAAGGTGGTTGGCGTTGGCCGCGTTTTCAAGTTTCCTGCCCCTGGGGGTGGAGAGGTGATAGCCCCAGAGTACGTTGGGGGCGTTAAAATCACCCGCAAGGAGAACGTCGCAGTTTTTGTTCGAGGTGAGGATATTGGTGAGCCAGTTTGTTGGGTCTGCTAAGTTCGTTCCAGGTCTCCAGTATGCGTTAATTATAAGGAGGGGGCGTGCGGAGGCGTGCGGAGGTTGCATGATAGTTACAGCGTGTTCTTGGTCACTATTATTTAGGTGGGAGCAGTCTATTTGTATGGTGGGCAGGGATTTATCGATGTAAGTTGCAACCAGTGGAGTATTGTGTTTGGCAGAGATGGAGGGCTGAGTGAAGGTAATATACACTGTGAGGTTAATTTTAGCAAGTGGTTCCTGGATTAGGAGGATGCCAGGGTTTTCGGGGCAGGGAGAGGAGGTACTGTTGTAGGTCATTTTTTTCCGGCGGAGGTTGCGACAATCCCACTGTAAAATTTGTATTGTCGAGTTAGTCATCATTGCACTCTGAAAGGGTAGACGAGAATGATTCACGGCGGCACTTAGTGGTATCGTTGGATTGGTCCTGGGTTTTTTGTTTTTGTTGGGCTCTTAGGAGGGCCTGGAGGGAGAGTCGATTAGTCTTCAGATCCGCGAGCTCCCTGCGTAGGGCAATGTTTTCTTTCTCAATCCGGTACAGCTTAGACCATAGCTGTTGGAAGGCCGTGTGGAGGCTTTTGAGCATGTCAGAGTCGTGTTGGGTGGTGGAGGTGAGTGTTGGTGCGGTAGGATTGGGCGAGTTGTTAGAGAGGTGTTGTGATGAGGCAGGGTGGGGGCACGTGCGGCCTAGGGCCTGTCTATGGCTGTCCCTGTCGTAGATGGGTTGATGGTTGGGGGAGGGAGGGGGGAGGGTGCGAGGGGTAGGCTCACTCACCGTTCTCGTGGGGCTGAGGCTTCGGGAACGTCTTGTGTCCTTGGTTGGGACGTGGGGCTTGTTTCATGGAGGTTGTCCTCTTGTGGAGGGGTTAACCGTGTGTGGTCGTTGGTCCATGGGCGGCGTGTCCCTAGCAGGTCGTCCAGCCGAGGTTTGCGATGGGGTGGTGACCGGGATCTTTGGGAGAGGCTTTGGAGAGTCTGGCGGGTTGGTCGGCTCGTGGCGTTGCCTTATACGGCAGTGTTACGCTCCCTGTCGGACCTTGGCATTCGCCTGGTTGCGTGCAGGGCAGTCGTTGGATGTAGGGGGGTGGTCACCGGAGCAGTTGTGGCAGAAAGGTGAACAGCGGTGTTCCTCGTCGCGGAGTGTAGTGGTGTCCGCGCAACAGTTTTCACAGAGGGCGATGTGATTCTTTAGAGTGCAAACTTCTGACCTGTGTCCAATACGCAGACATGCGTAGCACAGGGGTGCCCGTGGACGGTGGGGGCGACAGCGGCATTCGGCTCGGTGGTAGAGGATATGGTAGTGGATGTACGTGCCCTCAAACGTGATGAGCACTGATTCTGACAGGCCCATCATACGGGCGTGATGATGCGGGGGCCCGGGGAGTGGAGGTGCGCTATGAGTTCCTCTTGTGTGGTGAGGGCAGGCACACCGTGAATGACGCCCTTGCACGAGTGGCCGGGGACGGGCGAGTAGCATGACACAGGTTGATTCCCTTGCTGGAGTCGAACGGTTTGAAGTTGGATCAGTTTTTCTTGTGCCGAGGGACAAAATGTGTCAATAACCGCCAAGTTTTGCGTAGGCCGAAGCTTCAGTATGGTCTCTCGGATTTCCGTAGGGGTGAGGTTGGCTGCTTGCATGACGGCTTCCGTGAGAGTCGATGGGCGTTCGGACGTGAGATCGAACCCATTCTGCGGCTTGAGGATGACGGTATAATGTTGTTCCGTGGGTTTGGTGCTCGAGTAGACATTAGTCCACTTGGTGAGGTCGTGGGGCGGTGGGGTGGATTGAAGTGATGGGGAGGCCCCGGCCATGCTGGAAGCAGGCCAGCGCTGAGCCTGAAGTAGGCTTAGCGAGGAGTACGGCAGCGGGTGCGGCGGGAGCCGCCGCTCACGGGAGGCGAGGGGTGCGGTGGCGCGATGGCGCTAGTGTCGCTTCCAAGGGTGCCGTACTCGTCGATGGCCGGGTAGGGTTAGCGCGGTGGACGTCGAAGAGGTTTTTCGGTCGCCGAAAAATGAAGGTTTCCGGCTCACCTGGGCTCAAAATTTCGCCCAACGGGCCCTTGACCTTGCAGGAGACAGTATCGGTACCAAAATTTGCTGCGAGGGTGATGGCTCCGCTGGTGAGAATGGTATCATCAGGAGCCGATACGAAGCACGTCCAACACGGTTGACGGCAGATGGCGCCTCAGTCAGACCAGCACTTTTAGTTCAGACGAACAGAAACGCAACCGGCAAACAGTTGCAGTGTCATCTAAATGTGCCCATGCAAACTGCTCCAAGGAATACAAAGCCGGCATTCGGTCCTACCCGATCCGGTGCAACGAATCTCATCGCCACCCAAATGTCGCGAATATCTTTGTACCGACGGTGAACATGCATTATTTCTTTTTTGTTAAATAAATATGCGGCGAGCGGTTTGAGGTGTGTTCGCATGTTTCAGTCCGGGGAAGTCTCGCGCTGTCCCGCGCGCAACGAGGTAACGAGGACACGCACGCAAAAATCAAAAGCGAGCGTCCCCCCGCATAGCTCGCTGCGTTGCTTGCGTATTTCACTTGCCAAGGGTGAAGCACGGAACGCGAACGCACAGTGCTTGCGTTTTCTCCTTGAGTCCAACACGTGATTCTGACGTGACACTGCTTCAACGCAGGCGAATTTGGTTCCTGAGAAAAAGCGCAGCGTTAATACATGATTTGGGCAACGCTGACTTCTTTGTAAATAGTGTGTTGATGGAAACGCAATGCTAAAACATTTCCCTGACAACCTTCCAGCGATAATATGTAGCCCATGAACCAATCGTTATACAAATTCAAAGTGTTCACGTAACATTCGACCTACGTCGCATGCAGGAGATGCCACGAGTGCGGGTGACCTTCGACTTCTCGGTCTGGGTGTGCCAGCGTACGCCCGGTTGGGAGGCAGCGCCAGGCTGCACTGCCTCTTCAAGCTCGGGAGTGCACCACTATACTGCGTCAAGTGGTACAAAGATAATCACGAGTTCTTTCGCTACCTCCCGAGCGAGAACCCGCCCAAGAAGATTTTCCCAATGAGAGGGCTTACGGTAAACGTACGTGCATCCATAAAATCCTTATTTCGTACCTTGCAAAAAGGGTTCTTTTTATTTTCCCCCGTAAATACCGATAAATTCCGATTATTAGCCTCTGAGTCACTTAAAATCGGCGAGAACCAAAAAAGCTTAGGATTAAAGCTCTCCCTGGACAAGAGCAACCCAAACTTAACCGGACGAAACATTTTAAGTATCTATAGCTTTATTTTGAGTTGAACACGACCTTCATTGAACTGTCAGCGAGGCTGCTTTTTTCTTCAGAACCTCATCCATCTTCTCGTTTGCAACCTCTTATTGTTATGAGGGCATTTTTCGAGTATTTGACTAACGTGTTCGCGCCAGCCGAAAACACAAAACCCTACATATAAATGGGGTTCGTGTGTTTGGGGTTTACTTCTTTTTTCGAACAAAGGGGGTTTAAGCTTTTTCAGAAATTCCGTGTTTTATCGGTGTCAAGTTTCGGCGTCCGAAAGGAAATCGGTTTTATATTGGCGCTCATGTTGAAAGAAATAAGAAGTAGAACATGGGATTCTCCTAAGTCCAGGGAGCATGCGCGATGGTTCCAACAATTAGAAAACGTCTCTGTACCAGTACGAGCGAAAACAAGATGATTCCCGAGAAATGAAGCAGCCTCGAGGGCAGTTCAGCGAGGGTTGTGTTCCGGGTATACACCAACTCAATTCGCTGACGTAACGCCACGGCGGTGGCGCTGCTGTCGGCACTGAGCTTGCGCAGAAGATTCGCCTCACCCGATTCTGATTCGGCAAACAAAGGCTTGTTTGTAAATGGTGTGTTGGTGCATAGAGAGACTAAACCTGTAGAATGCATAAATTGCTCCTCATCTTCGAGCGTGCAGATTTGTTTCTTCTTTGTTTCTTTGGTACTTTAAGATTAAACACTAATCGGTACAAATTATTTCGAGTTTATAGATCATAAATGGCGCACAATAGACAATGTGAATTTTTTTTAATTCTCAGTTGATCAAAAATGAATTTACAGTTTGTGTGGATAAAGCAAGGTATTATGCTAACAACTTTCTTTTTTGCTACTACCAGAAAATATACATTGCGTGCTACAGTATGCTTCCGCGCCAAAAAAAAAAAGATATTTACCAGCTTCCTGTGTTACCAGTTCTTTACCTGTACTATTAAAGAGTCACATGCATGCACTCCTAAAAACTGCCTGCGCACCTACCTCCCCAGAAAGCACATGACCAGTCAATCTCTATGAAGAAGTCGTCTCTCATTTTTCACTTGAGGGACGCGGGAAAATATATTTTCAGCAATACCAAACAATGATGCTTTAAGTTGGCAATGACCCTTTTCCCATATAACCCTACGCATCTGTATACCTTCTCCCCAAATCCTTTCTTCCCGCTCTAACAATTCTCGGAGGGCACCTTTTTGCACGACCAACACTTGCAGGCCCTATCTTGGCACGTATTTGTTCTTCTTTCACGATTATATTTCTAGCACCGGTAGTATGGAGCATAAAAATTAATGAAAACCGAGGGATCCTGATTCAATCTCCACCCATGCCCATTTCGATCTGGATGAGCATCGTACTGGCGTGCGGTCGGGTAGATCTACTGCGTGACGCACATTAAAGACACCAGGCTAGCAGTAGTACTGCACTAGCTAAATTGCTTATCTACAGTCAATAACAATGTCGCCATGTTCTGGCGACATTGTGGCACAATATCTACCTGTTTTAACGGATGGAGGCATGTTGTGCAACGCTCATTCGCAGTTCGCCGAGAATCCTTCAGGCAGAACTTGTTAGACCAAAAAAAAAAAAAAAAGGTCGATTTTGTGCTTCTACGTTTACATCCAGTGTTGAGAGCCAGCGTTGACTCCCTGTGCAGGTTGCGGAAAGTGACCAGTTCTCGGTGCTTCTGGAACAACTGACTTTGCACAGCGGGGGAGCATACCGGTGCGAGGTCGTCACTGAAGCTCCTACCTTTGAAGTGGTGACCGGGGACGAGATCCTTAACGTGACAGGTAAAGTCGCAGAACTTTCATTCATACAACCACACAAATAGGACGATAGCGTAGACGTAGAGCATTCTGGCACGCATACATGAGCAAGCACACATGCAATCACAGACACTCACAAAAGCATATAATGACACAATTAAGCATACCCACTAGGAAATTGTACAGTTACTCGTAACACAGGGTGCTGTCGCATAGATTAGCTTTTATATATTGAATAATGCGAAAATGGCGTGAAAAAGTGCGTTATCCTCAAGTGAGAGCACACTTTTTCGATGGGTGTTCGACCTTCAGAAAATGATTCAATCAAGGTTGATTTACACAGTGTGTCGAATAATGTTTGTTTATACCAATTATTTGTACTAGGAGTTATATTCCTTGGAGTTAGATACAATCGTGATTTACGTGATGTTGCTGAGCGCGCAGCGAGCCAAATATGCAGCGCGCTTGGCACGAGCGCGGAAGGCCGGTGTTCAGATCCCGCCACCGCTTGTCGTTTTTCTTTTTTTAATTTTCTTTATCTAAGTAGATTTTGGAAGGTTGGAGAGACGTGTAGCTTGTTTATGCTATACTTCCACAACGAACAAGGTAGAATGTTCTAGGCTCCTAGGGAAGGCTCAAAAGAAGCCGCGACGCGCCGTTCGGAGTCAGTCCTTCGATAGCGCTACGCCAACATCGATACCCGCGACGCCCAGATATAGTACCCTTTATTTTGGAACAAGTCCGCCCCCATTAAATCTTTAGTTCATTGAGTTCTCTCCTGCCTGATTGTCTGTCATTCGTGACAATCTGGTGGAGATGCGAGGCAGCACACACTGCCCAAGGTTACTCATTCGTCCCCGCACACCCGTCAACAAAGTCCGATTCCAAGCCAGGTGAGAAGAACTCTCTTCGAGGAACCTGAAACTCCGCTCAGCCGCAGAAATGGAAGGATTGCCAACCAGCCGCAGACCTCCGCTGCCTCTGCCGTCGTATACCAGCCCGTCACAACAGGGAGGGCTGCTCCGTTCCACGGTGAACTATAGGAAGACGTCGAAGATTTGATCGACCAATGCGAATGCGTCGCCCGCCACAATGGTTGGACCGACGAGCAGCGCCTGAAAGACGTGTATCTGTCGCTGGAGGGGCCTGCCAGGCACTGGTATGAAAATCACGAGCCTTCTTTGACATCGTGGGACGTTTCCAAGAACGAGCTGAAGGCAGACTTGGGAAGTAATCCGTTACTTTTTCAAGTAATTTTGTAATTGCAACGTTACTTTTTTTCGAAAGTAATTTTTAATGAAATTTCGTTACAAAATATTGTTAACGGAGTACTTTAAATACTCGTTACTTTTTTTTTTTAAATATGAGCATAATACAGCAATGGGGCAATACGCGGTGAACATTGAGCAACATAAAGAGAGCAAGTTCAACAAAATTCGGAAACATCAGCAAGAGAAGAATAGCCAAAAAAAAAACATTTTTTTTTTTTGTATGACCGGTCACTAGAACCACTAGAAAAACGGGCAAAGCATGTAGGAATATATGAAAGACAACTATCATGTAAGACAAGACCGAGTAGGCTCTCCGTCGCCTTCAATCGTGTAATTTTTTCTTCCCCCGGGCTGGAGAAATCTCTTCGTGTTTATTTGTTTTCGTCTTGTGCACCGTTGTACCCTTTCCAACGTCTTCAACGTCTCCTGCCACCTGCACAAACATCAAATACGGGTTTGTAGCTACCTCATTCTAGCACGCTCTTGAGGCACGGCTGAGAAGCGCCTGGAGCGAAGCTAAGAGCATCGTCTTCGAGGGTACGGACGATACTTCTTTTGGTTTACTTGTCTGGGCATGGTGGACGAGTGCACTACTTACTTTACAGGGGGTGGGGGGGGGGGGGGGGGTTAGGCCATTTAAGGAATGCTGACAGAAAGAGAGAGAGAACGCGTAAAAGTTGTGTGATCCTCAATTGTTTTATGAGACCAATGGCCACCGCTTCTCTCGCTCTCTATCCCTCCTCTCCCCTGGCCTCCACGAGTCAGAGCCGATGAACGATCGACAACCCGTAACCGGCACTTTTTCTCCTGGTCGAGTTTTTGGTCATGGAGTGTCTGTCGTCTTCATGGCCATCTCTTAATGAGAGGTTCAAAATTCAGGGTATTAAGGTGAACGGAAACCTAGAGTTTTAGTGCATACTTGGCTTGCCAAAAAAACACATATCGTCATCAGCAAGAACAACACTTTAATCTACGGAAACACATCAAGGTAATCTGGGACACTTCCATTCTGCATTGGCTATACATCGTAACGTTAGAATCAAGTTCTTTCTTTTCTTGTGGATAACAGGCGAAACACCCAAGTCAAAAGAGATCTTTCGTAGATCGCTTCATTAGCTCCGAATCTCGTAGCGGAGGTAGACGCTGCTACTGAGCATGCGCACCGCTAGCTCTGTCTGCACAATTCCAGGGTCCATTTCCAGAGGCCGTAAGCTAGCAGGATGGCGGGTGCAATTCCAGCTTTCGGTGCCTTGTCAGATTGCAGGTAAACGGAGTGCACCTACACTCTTTCTTAATACAATATTTTATTTTTACAAGGACTACCATAATATGGGCGTATGAGAAATGAAAAGTAGTGGTTCCAGAACATTTTTGAAAATATCAACATTGTTTCTATTGTTTTCTGGATAAGTGTACAAAAAAAGTAACGTGAAAGTAATTTTGAACGTAACGAGTAAAGTAATCGGTTACTTTTCAGCAAAAGTAATTTGTAGCAGTAATCCATTACATTTGAGGACTGGTCATTTGTAATTGTAATCCATTACATATTTCAAGTAACCAGCACAAGTCTGGCTGAAAGGAACGTTTTCAACCAACACCACCGGGAGAGAGCCGAATACTTACTTTGAACCACAGTCTAGCTAGGGCCCTAACGAGAGCGTCACCGGCTTCGTGGAAGATGTCATGCGCCTGAACGCCCGTGCTGACGGGCAAGCCACAGACGAAAAGAAGCTGCAAGTCCTCATGCGTGGGGTGAAAGGCATCTTTGGAGGTCTCGTCCGCATTCCTCCGACAATAGTCGAAGATTGCGTCACGAAGGCCACGACTATCGAGCGTGTCCGGCAAGCTCGAGCCAGTCACTAGCGAGTTTTAGAATGATGTGCGCAATTTTAGCGCACGCTAGCGCTGAATTTAGCGCTTGCGTAAACGCGCGCTGCGCAGGTGTGTTTTAGAATAGCGTTTCCCCACCGCGACGCAAAAGCCCAAGCATCTCCCGCTTGCAACGCCACAAACATACAGTAACACTTATTGCACACACGAAATGCTGTACCTTGAGACAAAAAAAAAAAAAAAGTTTATTCCTTTGAGGTCAGATTTTAAATTCCTTTAAATATGAGAATGCGACGGGAGCGGTCGACCGGTCGTGTCCACTTGCGTCGCATCGGCAAGAAAGGTACCATATATTGACCTTCGCACACAGGACTACCTTCGCTGAGAAACGTTCGCGCGTTGCAGGCCGGCAAGTTGCCCGCGATTCTTGCCCAACTTGGTGGGTCTTCCAAAACGTTTCTGACGCGCACCTCCCGTAGGAGTGCAATGTCATCATGCGTTGAAGATCGCAGTCGCGAGGATGCCGCCGACGTCGCGCTCACGGCTCCTACCACAGCCGCCATTTTTTAAGTGTGCTCGTCTTGGATTCAGCCAAATTCTCACCACGAATCCGCCTTGGAGGAGCGCAAAGACTTTTTGCGTATGCACGCGATTTCTGAAAAACAGCGTATGCTAAAATAGCTTACGCAAAGCTGAGGAATAAACGAAACTCGAACTACTTTCAATCTATCCGAGTCAAAAGCAATCCAACTGTACGTAAGGTAGCAGTAGCACAAGACTACCACAGCGTATAACCAGTAGTTCGATTTAAGCGCGTTACATTTCTGTTTGGGAGGTGTGGGGGGGGGGGGGGGGAGGAAGGAAGGAAGGGGGGAGCTGCGAGCCGCACTTTAGCACGCGAGCAGCTGCATGCGGCTCGCGAGCCGCAGCTTGGCCACCTTTGGCATAGAGAGTGAGGAAAGCGGTGGCCATCGGTCTCAGAAAGCAATAGCAGATCACACCATTTTTGCGCGTTCTCTCTCTCTTTCTCTCTCCCTCTTTCAGCACTCCTTAGTCACCTACCCCCCTCCCCCTTTTATGTTTAGAATTGACTGTAAAGTGAGGAGTGGACTCTATCACCATGCGCAGACAAGTAAACCAATAGAGGTATTGTCCGTACCCTCAAAGACGATGATCTCAGCCTCGCGCCGGGCGCTTCTCAGCCGTGCTTTAAGAGCGAGCTAGAATACAGTAGCTCACACAAAAGACAAAAAGAATTCGACCCCCTCGCGCGAGGCTACATCGTCTGTTACGCGAGTTGTGAACCCGGGAATCGGCGGGGGTACGGACCCGCGTTTGATGTCTGTGCAGGTGGCGGGAGACGTAGAAGAAGTTGGAAACGATGAAACTGTGAAAAGGCAAAAACAAATAAAAAAGAAGAGCTTCCTCCTGCCCGGGAGAAGAAAACACGATGGAACGCGACGGAGAGCTTACTCGGCGTTGTCTTCCTTGACCTTTGTGTTTCGTATATTTGTACATGCCTTGCCCGTTTTCCTAGTGGTTCTAGTGATCGGTCCCACAAAAAACCGTGTTTTCATTTCGGCTACTCTCCTCTTCCTGATGTTTCCTATTTTTTTTTTAACTTGCTCTCTTTATGCTGCTGAATTTTCTGCTCGCATTGCTCCAGTTACCGCATTATGCTGATATTTTTTTTAAGTAACGAGTAATAAAGGTAATCCGTTACCAATATTTTGCACCGAAATTACATTACAAATTACTTCCGAAAAACGTAACGTGGTAATTACAAAATTACTTGAAAAAGTAACGGATTACTTCCCAAGTCTGATTGTAACAGAGGACGACGCGCTCCCCGTTAATCGATCGCCGTACACAGTTTCGGTAAAAGAAAGGGAGGTCATCAAGGAACAAGTTCAAGAGACGCTGACCGACAACACAATCCAGCCTTCGAGCAGTCCGTTGGCCTCTCCAGTCGAATTGGTTCAGAAGGCTGGAACGCTCAGGTCCTGCGTAAACCACCGGCAGCTAAACGCAGTGACGGGGAAACACGTCTATTCACTCCGCACATCGTCGACAGGCTAGACCGGCTGAGCTACTCTCGATACTTTTCATCGATGGACCTGAAGACCAGCTACTGGCAGATTCTAGTCGGCGTAGGCGATCGAGAAAAGACAACCTTCGTCACGCCGGATAGACTGTACGAGTTCAAGGTGATGCCCTTCGAACTATTCACGGCGCCAGCAACTTTCTAGCGTGTCATGGACATCGTACTGGCAGGACTAAAATGGTAGATCTGCCTCGTCTACCTTCACGACGTCGTAGTGTTTTCAAACAATTTCAACGAGCACTTGCGACGGCTCCCGAGCTGTTCTCCAAGCCATACAAATCGCCGTAGCCAGGCTGAAGCCATCAATATGTCCGTTCGCCTATAACGAACTGAAGTTCCTAGGCCGTGTGGTTAGCAACGAAGGCGTTCGCCCAGATCCGGAGACGACTTGAGCCGTCGCGAAATTTCCAGCGCCGACAGACAAGAAAGCCAAACACGGCGGTTCAAGAGCACTGGAGTTATACCTTTCCAGCTGGTACATGGTGAGAAGGTAACGACCATGCTTGACGCGATGCTGCCCCACGAGCCAGCTAACGATGGTAGCGACGACTCCCAGGTGGTTGCTCAACGAGCCGAAGAATTCCGCCAGCTCGCGCGACTCTGGATTCAAAACCAGCAACGCGCCGACGTTAGCCTCTCCAACCTCCGTCGTCGGGACTTACACTTCCAGACCGGACTCAAGGTGTGGATGTGGACACCCACTCGTCGCCGTGGCCGCTACGAGAAGCTGTTCAAGTGGTACTTCGGATCGTAAAAGGTACTTCGTCGTCTCGGGGAGCTCAACTACGAAGTGGTGCCCGACGGAACGCAAACATCATCACGGCACCGACGACGACCCGAGGCGGTTCACGTCGTTCGACTCAAGCCGTTCTACGCTCGAGAGGGCTGTGAACTTTCCGTATTTCAGAGGACTTTGTAGCTTACCGTTCTTTTGTTTTGTGTTGCATCGGGTCATTGCGTTTTAAAGGGGGGAGTAATGCCGCGCGCGCAGCTAGCCAAGTACGTGGCGCGCTTGGCTCCCACGCAGAAAGCCAGGATTCAAATCCCGCCACCGATTGTAGTTGTTTTTTCTTTCTTTATATAAGTAGAAAATTCTAGAAGGTTGTTGAGCCGTGTAGCTTGTCTATGCTCAGACTGTACGCTTTCAGAACGAACGAGATAGACTGTTCTAGGCTTCCAGGGAAGGCTCTAAAGATTCCGCGCCACGCCGGACGGAGTCAATCTTTCGCCAAGTTATCGTACCTTTTATTTCGGCACAAGTTTGCACCTCTTAATCTTTAGTTGATTGACCTTCTTCCTACCTCGTCGTCTGTCATTCGTGACAATATATTCACTAAAACAAAGCAACAGTCGTAACGTTCTTCAATGCAGAGACGATGACATGAGAATGGGGGTCTCTTAACTGTCAGGCATACAAGACGTCGGAGGAGTCGGCAATGTCGTAATTCTTCTATCATGCTTAATTTACTGCATCTGTATTGGCTGTTTCTGCGCAGGTTAGAACTGCATATGCTGCTTGCTGCGTTTAAACTCGTTGCTCGCCAAAACACTGTCCATAGACGGTTGCAAAGATTTCTAGCATTCTGTGTGTTCAGTGTTCACCAACAGCCTATTGGTGAAAGCCATTGATGAAACCCTAAAACGTGTACATTTTTCGTGTGTATAACAGAGATGGTCAATATACTCGAACGTAACTTGAAGATAAGATGTTTTATGCATACATTGATTGTCCTAATACTATTCTTCTCGGTTTCTACTCAGCTCCGCCGAAGGTGGGTCCAAAGATAAGAGGCGCCCAGACGCATTACAACATAGGCGACACCGTGGACATCGCCTGCGTTTCCCTCGGGTCCAGGCCAGTGGTCAACTACAGTTGGTACCTCAATGGGCTTCCCCCCGATCCGACGAACTCCGAGATCAGCAACCTGGCAACTCCGACCGTCGAAGGCCTCGACTCTTCTGTCAGCAGACTCCGCTTCAAGATCAGTGACGACCTATTTATCAATGGAACAGTCTCCATCAAATGCGTGGCTAGCATTCCCAACGTGTACATAGGGTCCGACGAGAAGGTCGTTCACCAAAGGTCTGATGGTGCAGATGCTACAACGCCAACCAAGAGTGCTGACGACGAGTGCCTTTCCAAGTTGATTTCAATCATTAGGAAAGTATGGGCTTCCTATCGGTAAAAACATATATATGCCCCGTTTCACTGTAAGTTCGACCGTAGCCGACTCCACAATCTGATGGAACCAACCAAGCAGAGTTAAAAGTGTATTTTCACGGCGCTCCTTGTCTTGTGTGTATGCCATCACCAACTGAATGCATTACCCCCACTTCACAGCACGGAAAGGCGACAAAACGCCACATTTTGCGGTGGCCACTTTGTAGGGGTAGTTACGTATGCCCGACGATGCCGGCCTCTACGGTATTTCTTTTAACAGCGGGAGCTGCGTTTGCCTGCTTTTACTTGACGAGAGCGCGTGCATAGAAGGCCCGCTCAACGTGTTGTGCTTGCTCCTGTAGATTCTCTTCTATTCATGTTTGTAGCGAAACAGAGTATAAATAAGAGGGGTCGTCAGATTCCAGTGAATCGGATCGGGTCAATAGATTTAATGAGTCAAGAGATTCAACGATTCAAGAGATAAAACGCGTAAAGAGATTTAATACAAGTCAAGAAGTTCCACAAGTCGAGAGTTTCAACCAGTAAAGAGATACAACGACTCCAAAGATCAATTATTGAAGAGATCTATGGTAAGTTAAAACTGAACGCCACTTTGGATTCGGTTTACCTGAAACAAGTTCACTGTTACACAAGGGGGGCTAGTCAGGATCACCTGGCTCGTCATACCTTTTGAGTTGCTCCATATAAGTCAAGAGATCAAAATGTGGTTTGAGAGGTTCAATTAAGATGTTGTGATCTCCCTTAAAGCAGAGGCGCTTGCGATCGCTCATCCACACACTACAGCAGGTTTGTCTGAAGTCAACAATGGTACCTTCCTTGCTGGAATGGCAGTTTCGTTCTTTTTTACCTAATGAGCAGGAGTGTTATGTAAATTCGGTGGACAGCATCCAGGTTAAATTTTGGCATTCCTAAATATACTCACCCCAGATTCGGTGTGCATAGTCTAATCGCGAGATCAGAATCCTTTGCAATTTTGCTTCGGGGCAGACGTTTCTTGGAATTCGCTGATTGGAAATAGAGTCCATGCACACATTCGAACCTCGCCGGTTCACGGAACGAGGCCCAAAAGCCGAACTTCACACGAGACAGAAGTGCACTGCCAGCCTTACCCTCAGCAGACGCGTTGAAGATTAGACGCAAAGAACGCTGTCCCTTCTCGCACCGCTCGTAATGACAGCCATCAAAAGCTGGTTCCGTTTACGCTACTGCCCCTATTCTTGCACAATGTTCCACTAATCAAGAAAGTGGGAAAAACCACTAATAACCCAGAACGTCGTAATCTTGAAGGCGGAGAGGAAAGAAGCATCTAAGTTAACTACGTCGCTTTCTTCGATTTGTAAAGGAACGAGTAGGAAAAACGTATATTAAAGGAGCCAATATAAGGAAACGGCGATTTATGATTCCTAAGTGCGCCCACTTGCGAAAGGAAGGGCGCTGATCTAAGTATAAGAGGCATCTTGAATTCAAAGGTTTGTCTACAATGCACTCGTGGAGTGCGTTAGAACGTTAACCGCCGGCGTCCGGCATTTGCCTCTCGGCTTCGCACGCGTTCGGCAAGTGCAATTTAGACAGAGGCGGCTAGTTTTCGGTCCACCCATTAATCATTCGGACCAGAGCTCAGCATTCTGACGTCCCTCCGCGTTGTCGTCTTCTCTTTTTCTAGTTTCTTGGGGCATAGGTTGGGTACGCGGGTTCCCACATCTGCGGGCGTTTGGCTGTCAAGGACGTGCCGAACGAGATTCTTCGCGGTGAACTTTTGGTCTTTACGTTTGTTTGCCAACTTCGATCAACACCACCTAGTACTGCAATCAAAGCCTGTGCATTAGCATTTGTACGCCATCACAGCGCGATCGAGCGAAACTACACGATCGAAATGTGAGCTGCGTGAGCGTTGGGCTTGGCTTCGTGTCTAAGGAACGCGTCGAAGGACACTCGACGTCGAGCTGGGCTCCAATATTTGAGTTGACGTCATCCGTTGTGATGACGTTGAAGATTATTAGAATGTTCGCTGGCCCCGCATATTCTAGATGGTGTTGGTTCAACCGACGATCACTTATGATTTTCCTATAGCTTCTTTTTCCAACCGAAACCATTCAAAACATGAGAGAAGGAAAGCGACAGAAAAGGCACGTTAAAAGATGGGCACAAGCACACAGATTTGATTCTGTTTGTGTGTGTGTGCATACGTCCGTGTGTACGTATGTGTGTGCGTGCGTGCGTACGTGTGTCTGTGCGTGCGTGAATGTGCGCTCACGTGTGTACGTGTGTCAGATTTTATCTATGATGGTGCGTTGCTCAGCCCCACTGCACACTCGCTCTTCCATTAAGATTATAGTCCTTCACTAACGGTAAATTACATTGGCGACGTGTCACGCTTTTTTTTTTAACTTCAGCTAAATTTATTTTTAACGTTCGAGCACGTTTCAAGCCAGAATTCTTATTCAGCGAAGCTAATTCTACCACGCAAGAACAAGTGCCTTGCAAAGCTTGCACCTTGCTGGCGTTTTTTGTCTTGATCAAGAAACTAATTTCAAATAAATTGTAGGTCTTCTATTCACCGCAACAAACGTGCCGACCAAATAAAATAAAAATATAACCTGATCTTTGCACAAGAGCAGTGGCAGCGGGTTACCCTGGAACCTAATCCGCGTTTGTTTTCAGCATTGCAAGTTGGTACTATATTTTGCTTTGTACAAACTGATATTTATCTCTTACTAACTGCTGGTGCTTCTGCTGCTGCTGCAACTATCCGTTCTATTGTTGTTACTGTGCCGTGATATATTGACAGATGGTATAAAATGGCAAAAATACACTTACGATATCTCTCTGAACTGCACCAAAGACGCTTCGGAAAAAGGCTCGCAAATAACGTGCGTTGACTTCCCATACTCTTACCATATAGGTACTTGTTCTGGTATCTCGGAAGAGCCAGGTTTTGCTTCACCTAAATCTTGGCGTTGCCATAAATCTAAAGCGGCTAAGTAGCGAGGTGGCCAAAGCGGCAAACAAAACAAGGAACCAGATGTAGCCCTTATACTAGTCACCATGAACGCTAAAGTGGACCTAAAGAAACAGTGGATGAAAAAGAGCATTCACTTCACCACATGTCAGCGAATTATGATGCAGTACTGAAGCAAATGGGTGAAAATGATGAGAAAATAAAACAATTATAGAAAAGGGCTATACACTTGGAAAACACGGAGCCGACAGCAGAAGTGGACAGGCTCAAATAAAAAGTGCAACAACGCATAAATTTGGGCGAGTTGGTTAGACGTCATGAAAAGCATCGTGTCGGTCGTTACCCCTTCTACTCGGCCCTCGTTTATTTTCGCGCTGTTCCCGTTTCATGATTTCAAATAAAACGTTCAGAACCTTGTATGCAGGAGCCGCAGACAAAACATCAAAATACACGGGATTCCCAAGTGCAAAAATGCAAACCTCATGGCTAAGATAAATGTAATAGCAAAGAAACCAGAAGTGCCCGATTTAATAGAAGGATAAATCAAACTCGCGCATCGGCTTCCCTCCCGCCATGATAAGATGCCCGGAATCATCGTTCGCTTTTCAAGCCAAGCGAGACGGGGCTTGTGGCTCAAGAAACAGGCGAACCTGAAGCAAGCTCAAAGCAGAGCCCATCCCGTGGAAAACTTAGCACAACAGGACAAAACATTTCTTTAGGAAACGAAGAAATGGACGAAGGCAAAACGATACCAGTACTAACGTGGAAAAGTACCAGTAAGGGAGAAACATGGGGCACAAGCACATGTAGGGAAAACTGTGAGTGACTTGCAGATACTTGAGTACTTCTGCTGCTGGTGGTTTCAGTGGAATGCTTTTTCTTCTTTTTTTTTTCTTCTTACTATGAATGGCACGACCTATTCCTTGTGAAGTGAAATCTGAATCATCTTCGGAAACCAACCGAAGGTGCCTTTTTCTTTGTTTCGCATAAATTTACAGTCGATACGGAATAAGTTTGATCAATTAAACACCTTTCTGGACGGTTCTGACTTTCTGTTTCACGTTGTTATGCTCACTGTGACATGGTATAAAAGTGCCGGTGAAGAAGATAGGCTCGATAATTACAAAATATTTAGTGCAAACAGAACAATAAATTAGGAGTGGGTGTATGTATACATGTAAAACCAGTATGTGTTGTAGCTTCCTTAATTACTTTACAAATATTTCAAACGGCGATGAGATACTAACTATACAACAAGCAAACACAATTATTTTCTCTGTTGTCTATCGCCATCCAAGTGGTAATATATCCTCCTCTTCTGAGTTTCTCGATGGGCATTTTAAGTTTATTGGGGAAACTAAATTGACTGCCAATTTTGGCGGTGATTTCAATATAGACTGGCTGGCGTCATACACACAATGGATGGAATTGTTGTCTTTTTATCACTCATATGGATTGTTTAATGTTTGTCTTTCAACATACTCGTACGACACTTCAAAATAAGGTTTTGCTGGATTTATTTCTACCAAATGTTTCAGAAACGGACAAGTTGCTGGCGTGATCTGGAAAACTATTAGTGACCACCTTCCAATATACACGCTTTCTGATGTAAACTACATCTAGAAAAGATATGTGATCCTCATACTTTTTTTTAAAATATAAGCTCTAGACACCTTAATATTTTTGAAACTCAGATAAATTCTGAAATTTGGAGGTGGGTGCTGTCTAGCGTGTCTGCCGACGAACCGTTTAATTGTTTACTTTAAATGTTTAAGATTATTAATAATCGTTGCCTCCCTTACAAATTGCATAATGACAATAAAACTGTGGTAAAACCTAGGTTTTGCCTCAAATAAAAGAAAATTAGTTAAACAATTATATTTCCCATAGAATTCTACAAACTAGAGACATTCATACTTTGTTTGCATTTAAGAAACATGGAAACAATTTAACGAAGAGTTTAAGGCAGGTCAAACTCATGTATTTCAGCAATTTACATAAAGATGACAAGAAATAAAATGTATGGAAAAAATTAAATGGATTAATAAAACAAGGGTCGTACGCGGATAGGGTAACAGATAAAAAAGAAGGTATCGCCGTAAAAGAAGCTGCTTTGGCGCAAAAGTTTCATGATTTATTTGTCAAACTCGTCCCAGATGTACACTGCACATGCCGTTAGGAATGTACACATCGTCTCTCATAGTCTCTTTCTGTTTTCAAGTGACAATGATGTGATATTTTCTGTTTTTAATTTTTTTTTTAATTTAAATTGTACGATTTTTTTATATAAATGATTTTCAAATTAAACGGAAGGATGTGTTTTTGTCGACTGTTCCCTGTCTAGTGCTTATTTTTACTCCAGCGCTTCAGAACGAAACTTATTACAAGGGGCACAGGTGACTGTGTTATATAAATCTAGGGATAGAAGCTACCTCGGAATCCATAGACC